TATATATATATATATATATATATATATATATATATATATATATATATATATATATATATATATATATATATATATATATATATATATATATATATATATATATATATATATATATATATATGTATATATATATATATATGTGTGTGTGTGTGTGTACACGGTTGTTGAAGGTGATTTTAATGACTTAATGTGATTTTTTCAATTAATTTTTATATGTTTGACTTTATATTTTACATACGGATTTTGTGTGTGCTGAAATGGTAATTAATTAAATCCACAAAAAGAAATTTAATGTAATTGAATACCATGGTAAATAAATGTATAATTACGTAAATTGTAATACCATAAATATGACAAATAAAATAAACCATATAAGAATATTATAGTTATTCAAGATCTATAATTTTGGTCAAATATTAACCATATAATTTCATGATCTATTTTCATCAATTATTACAATAAATTACAGTTTCCTTAATATCCTTTCATTAACTTATTTAGGATGTTAAATTTAAGTATAAATACTCTTGATCCTAACTCATTCATCTCATCCTTCCTTCACATGTTTTGTTATAATCACATCAAACCACGGTACTTGCCGAACAGTTTGTTCTTTCGCCTTTTTGTTTTGCAATTGTATTTTAGTTTTCTTAATTTTTCGGCATGTTCATCCGAAACATGTCATTTGTTGTCTATTGTTTATTCTCTTATCTGTTGAAATATATACATATATATAACAATCTAACCCATGTTTTTGTTTTTGTTTATTGAAAACTCATGGATGGCATTGTCTATGTCATATGCAGCGACATCGGCAAGAGAGAAGTCATGTAACGTTGTGTAGCCTGCAAAGATATGATCCATATTTATGGTATGGATGTATTTTTACAAAATTTTATATTTGTTTTTCCATCTTTTGATTATACATGTGACGATTGTAAATTTTATTTCGACAAGGAAAAAGTTAAGGTTAATGAAGTTGAGCATGTAATAAAAACTAAAAAAATCGAGTATTTCTTGATTTATAATAGAGATTCATATATACTTTATTCAATGTATTTGAATAAATTTTATTTTATATTTATAGCCAAAAAACCTTTTTAACATGTTTTGCAAATACATTAAGGAAATAAAATTTTCAACACAAGGAAACTTTAAGTTGTGTCAATTATTAAATAAATAATCCGCATTTGTGTATTAAGTGGTGTCAATTATTTCTACAGATAATTTGAATCAAATCAATTTACATTGGTTTTAAATATTTAGTAACCTCTTCAATGCACATTTCCATAATTACTAAACATTTAAAATATTTCCTTATAAAATGAAAATCAATGAATATTTATGTATTAATACCTAATTTGGACGTTTGTAGATAATTGTAAATTATAATAATGAAATGAATGATTGATTTAAAATTAATTAACCTTATTTTTTTATAATGTTATTTATATCCTATATATTATAAATATCAAAATCAAATCTTTTTTATTACAATCAAATCTCCGGAAATTTATTTTCAGAATGAATATCACAGGAATTGATTATTTTGTCAATTAGTCATTATTCACTAAGTGTAATTTAAATTAATTTCCTCAATTATCTTCTAAATATATGCCATTAAATCTCTCTTTCCTTTATAACATTTTTCTTTTACTTTTTTATTCTCCGAAAATTAGTATAAAAACCCTCCATCCTAACACATTCAATCACATTCATACTCTACACCCCACTTTTTGGAATCACACGAAAACACTATAGTCAACACATTTTTTTTTAATATTTGTATTCAATTATGGAGATTTACGTTAATTTTTGTGTAATTATTATTTTAGTTCGTTCGATGCATATTGTTTTTTCTATATTATTTTTTTCTCAAAATGTTCCGTTATAAATACCAATATAATTATTTTATTTTGGTTATAATAGGAGGAATATGTTGATCAAATTTATCAACAAAATTAAAGATTCCACATGCAATAGATGAGAGCGAGCGCACGACGCTTGCTATTAAATCTTCTTCTTTTGTTTTCTATTTTTTTTTTTCTTACTCATTTAAGGGGACACTTTATTGATACACTTTGTTCTTATCCATTGCTAGAATTGTTTGTGTTTTAGAATGTAGTGTTAGCATATGTTAATAAAGGTAGAATACATTTGTAAATTGATATAGACATTTCAAAGGTATTTAATTTTAATCAAATCGAGTGAGTTTTTTTGGTTTTTGAAAATATAGTCATTTTTTTTGTGCATTTTTCGAATATTTATTTTTATAAAGTTATGTTTTAGATACATATTCAATATAATATGTTTCATGTTAACTACCGTAGTATGTTAGTCGGCAATAATTTTGAAATTTAAAACTCATTGACCCACCCTTAAACATGTAGTCTTTTGGTATTTGCACCCCAAAAAATATTTATTAGTATTTTTCATCATCAAACCACAATATATCATCCACACTGCACACTATAATATATTTTTTTTTTTAAATTTTATGAGGGAATGGTCATCTTTTTGGTGATTTTGTTTTTCGAGATACATTATACAAAATTAGAATATCATTTATTCTAATTGAGTACAACCTAATTTCGAACGAACAAGGCAAAAAGAAAGGTCTCTTTAAATTATTTCAATTTTTATTTTCTCATGTGAGATATAAAAGAAATTCTCTAAACTTTTATTATCAAATTATTCAATTGGTAGATCTTTCATTGCAATTGGTGAAAATATTTGATGGATTTTTATATATAAAAAAACATAACTTTTACGAGATTTGGTTAGAAAATGGGTCACGGAAAACAAAGTATAATACCCTCGCTTCTTACCCATTACATAGCATCCTTAATCCACACAATATTTTTTTACTTTCACATGAAAATTCTTGCTGCACATGGTCATGTGTTTTTTTTTCTCCTTCCGTAATTTATGTAACAATTGAGTGATGTTGTTTGTACAAAAAAAAAAACATTTAGTTTGTTCAATGGATGTTTTTTTTTTCGTTCTGCTTATGTTTTATTGTAATATTTCATTATATAATAAGATCTAATGTAACTTATGTTATATAATATCTAAAATTTGAATTACATCCTCAATTGTTTGACATTTGGCAATTTCAATTGGTGACATGTATTCAATATCATCCCATGTGTCAAATTGATTGGTAAAAATAAATCATCAAAAAACATGTCACCATTTTCTAAAATTAAAGATGATTAAATATATTTAATTATTTCATTAATATATTTATATCCTATCATTTATAAAATGCTCTAAATATATCAACTTTCTTGGAAATTCTAAATAGATTTATTTTTAAATTTAATTTAATTTTAATAATAATTAATTTAATTTGAATTTAGTTAAAGGCAATTTCAAATCTTCCCTTATTATAATTCCTTGATTGGTGGTGTTACAAAAAAAATTATTTGAATTCATAAACATAGATTTATATTAAAAAACATATTGCATAATAAATAATTTGATAAAATACACTTTACATGAACATGACTATACTACTGTATAATGCAAAATATTGCACTATTTTTTTTGTCTGCCATGTGAACACTAACGTTTTCTGATATCCTTATAATATTTTAAATAATTTTAATGTCATTTTGATAATATAATTAAATATTAATTTCTAATATATTTAATATGTGTTTTTTGATGCTTCGGCTACCACACATAAGGATTTTGATATAAATGTTGCGTGATTTAATAAAATATTTTTGATACAAAATAATAGATCATTGCAAAAAAAATGATGCAAAAACAGAATTATGATTGTGATTGGTATTAGGATTATACTTAATATTCTTTGAATTAGTATTAGTATTAATACTAGGATTAGGATTCGAATTATAATTAGTATTAATATAGTATTAGAATTAATATTAAGATTAGGATAAGGATTAGGATTAGGATTAGAATAAGGATTATGATTATGATTTATATTAGTATTAAAATTATAATTAAAATTATGCTTATGATTAGTACTACAATTAATGACATGTATGAGTATTAAGATTATGATTAGTATTAGGATTAAGATTATCATTACAATTAAGATTAGAATTAGAATTATAACTAATATTAGCATTACCATTACCATTAGCATTATTAGTATTAAAATTATTAGGGTTATGGTTAGAATTATGATTAGTGTTAGGAATAGGATTAGGATTACGATTAGATTTATGATTAGATTAGATTTATGATTAGTGTTATGAATAGGATTATGAATATGATAATGATTTGGATAATATTAGGATTACACTTATAATTAGCATTAGCACAATTATTAGCATATCCAGATTAGCATTAGCATTATAATTGGTATAAGCATTAGTACATTAGCATTAACATTAACAATATTAACATATTAGTATTAGTAATAATATTAATATTAACATTAGTATTAGTAATAGTAATAGTATTAGCATTAGTATTAGTATTAATATTAATATTAATTTTAGTATTAGTATTAATATTTATATTAGTATTAATATCAATATTAACATCACTATCAAAATCGGTATCATAATCAGTATTAGTATCAGTATCA